TTTACGGCTCTTTGTAGTTTCGACGACCATCTAGTGAAATGCATTTGTATGTTTACGTTTGAATGAATCTGCAGTCTGTTATTCGTTGTTATTCATTCGAATTCATTTGCAATCAAAGTTTTAACAAACTACGATATTTATTGTTCACTGACAGAATTGGCATGCAGCTTGCGTAATAATTACATTTCATATAATAATTTATTATAAGTTAATATCGAATCATAAACCAGCAGACTGAAGGTTCGTTCAACTTCTCGTCCAGAATGGAGAACAGCTGTAAAGGTTCAGTACAGTTAAATTTCAGAAGTTTTAATATCGGAGACTCTGTCGTGGCTTTCAGAGATGTTTACTGCGGACCATTGATTCTGTTGAGTAACAGCTGAGGAAGACACCGGTTGGTCAAAATATTTTAGTTGTAACATCACAAGAGTAAATGCCGTTGTAAGAAATAATAGATTTTCAAGTATTACTGAGCGAATGGAGAAACTTTTAAAACTAATTCATCAGTGGACCATTTAATTCATAAATATTTCGAATGACAAAAGCAAATATAAAGACAAACGAAGAGGTGAAAGCACACTAAATTCCAGGAAATAGTAAAAAGCTCGTGGGAAGACCACCAGACTTAAGTCAGGATGAGTCGAAGAAACTCGTTTTATCATGATGAATGTATCAAGATCAGTTGTATTATAGGTTAGAATCTTATGGCAAAATCTTCGAGAAGCTTTGCTCCAGGAGTGGATGAAAAACGGTTGACGATTTTTAAGGTTGATGATTTAATGAAGTGATTTAGTGTCTTGGTCCAACTAGGATCTCTTCGGGAGATCTTATGGCGTTATAATTTTTCATGCTATTCGCTTCTTGCCTTACATTTTTATTAAATCACTAGGCTTCGTTGACTTTTATTTCCACATGTGCGCAGTTCGATCTCTTTTGATGTTAATATAGTCTGTCTTTGACTATCCATTGCTGATTAATTTTGTTTTCTTTCCGCATTTGCTTCAGAACGCTCTTTAAAAGCTTCGATATCAGTGTTCAGCCCCCTCACACTGTAATGGTCGAGAAATTTCCATGTAAATGAATTTTCCTTCATTCGCAAGTTTCAGAAATCCGCCGAACTTTTTTCATGACGTGTAAATCAATTAGGATGACCCCTAGATGTGTCATTGTTTTAAAGTGAAGTATTTGATGGTTTTATTATAACGTTAAGCTGACTGATTTTGCGCTTGATTTGGGGCTACTGTCATATTAATTATTGATAAAACAGTTCTGTTTTCATCACCATCACCGGTTGGCCCGTTCTACAGCGTTTGCGTGTGAATGTTTCGGCGTCCTACTTTCATTCACTCGTGGACGTCGCCAAAAAATCTTCTCTATTTTTTCCAGTTCGTCTTGCATGTTGAGAAATTTAAGCGGTCTGTCTAAGGAGAGCACAGGAGCGTTAGTTTTCGTCAGGCATCCCCGCCTCGTCGCATGCATAAACATTGCAATAAGGTGAACATGACAGCACCATCCGATAGCAACAACAGATGTCTCAGTCGAATTTCCCTACCTGTGACATTGTTCATGTGTATGCTGCGTCCGCCTGTCCTGTTCAGGAAAGTGATGAAGAGAAGAAGAAATGACACACATCCTTGATGAAGAGAAATTGCGAGGCATTTCTTATCTCTTTTACGCCATTCATCTGCAGAATACCTTCGAGCTGTCTTAAAAATCCTTTGAGTGCCATTAGTTGACTGCCATCCACCCGTTAATTTTGCAGGCTGGCATCGAAGTTCGTGATGTTTCTTGAGTGAGGAGTCGATGGCGCAAAAGTTTAGTAGTTTACTTTGCACTTTAGAGGTGCTGGTTTCCAACTCCATGCATTAAATAAACTTTCTCTTATTTACTGCTAACTCCCTATACTGTAACAAAGAAATTCACCTCATTGTGCTTCTTTGCAAGTAGCCGAGACAGGGGTTACGGGTCGTTGCCCTGCGAACAGTGTTTATGGGTTTGGTGTTGCCATGTATTTATGTATACCTGTCCTATACATAACCTGTATCTTACTAAAAACTAACACACGGTGGAAACGTAAATTCAGTTTAGAATGTATCTGATTTGTAATGCTATTGGAAATAGTATAAGAGTTTCCCATCCTTATTTTGTCTTTAACGCGCGACTCTTAACTGAATAACAGCCATTCAATCATCGGTTGAAATTGTATAAATTTTTCGACGTTTTTTGACGAGGATCGCATATGGTTTTGCTATTTCTTTGCCAGATTCTGTGTTTCATATTAGAAATGCAATTGTGACGAAACGTAGTACATTTCTGTGAATGGGTGAGACATGTACTGCGATCCGGATGACCACGATGACGACTTATTGTATACGGTTCGACGAAAATATCGTGCTCCAGTGGTTCCACTTGCCGAACAGATTCTCACTCCTGCTCTACAGCCCGCCAACCGGCAACCTAAGAAGAACCAGACTTCAAAAAATGATGGTGAACGAGACAGCTGTTCTGACATAGTGATACTTGACGACTCTTCTTCCGATGACAGTGATGCATCTAGTGTCATATGCCTTGATGATGACAATTCTGAAAGGTATGATTTTGCATGTTCTTTGATGTTTTAAGCAAGTACTGGAAACTCAGCTATTGTTTAATTATGTGACTAGATTCAAAATGAATTTTGGAAATCGCGGTTGCGAGTTGTTCTTTCCTGATGTCCTAAAAGTGCTTGTTAAGCTCAGTTACGTCAGTTAAAACCTTCTGTTTTTGTTAGAAAACATGTATTTGTTTGTAAGAAAAAGAGCTAATTCATCATGAAACGGCTCAGGCTTACGGTGAAAAGTTGGCACATGGTTTAAAAGCTTTGACACTAATCGAAACGTGAGTGGCGTCACGTATAGCAGTTGCCATTCGCAGGTCATATGTCCATGTTCGATACAAGTTTTTTAGACCTGTAAGTAAACAGATTAAGTTTGGCCAGCCTCGGTTCTTACTGCTTCCTTCAGTATCTGGTCGTTTGGAGTTCAGTTCGCATTTGGCCCACACAGCTACACCCACCGTAAACGGCGTTCGTTCATAAAGGATAATAATGCAGTAGGCTTCCACATGGCATAAAATGCATGCGGAACACAGCATACTAAATAACCATGGCATACAATGCTATGCAAACAGTCCGCACGGGGACTAATTGACGAAAACGGAAATTTTTGGAGTAGCCACGACAAAATCAATATTAAAGCGCGGAAAGAAACTTAAGATATCAGCTCATCATTGCTTCTTCTGTTACATGATTCAACTGCCAACAGATATATGCTATTTTAGCTCCTATCTTGTTATGGACCCATCACCATGCTGTTTTCACCTTGCCATAATACCAGCAGCATTTAGAATGTACCAGGAAAGCTATGGTCTTGGTTTAAGCAGAGCTTGTCATCCAAAATATGGCATGATAGTTAAATCAGGTTTGACCCTACCTACAGGTGGCTCGCTATCTTGAGATGCAAGATCGTTGCGGATCTAGCTTTTGATTGAACAGTGGTTGCACACTTCCTGAATTTCAGTTAAACTATTTAGATAAATACATTAAATGTTTGTTCAAATGAACTGGTGCTTATGAACCTTATTCTGAAACGGGTGCCAAGATCCTCTTGGGAACTTCTTTTGAAGAACGCTATTGCATTAAACAATAGTATTACGGGCATTAAAAAATAACTTTACCAGAAACGCTGATTATTAGGATCAGCATAATATCATAGATTTATCATGGCGATAAATCTGACAAACGTCATTCAGAGATCACCTATTTAAGATGATGATTACCCTCGTTTCCTTGACAATCATAAAATGTACTTTCCTATTTGTTTTGTGATTGAATTTTTGTTCTTAAGAAATACGAAGAACGGTGAGACATTTTCGGATCGCAATGCCAACGATTCAGATTCAGCACTTGATGAAGTGGAGAAAGCACTTCTCTCTACCGTTGGAATCAGTGTCTGTTGCAACCGTCAAATTCTAAAATTTCGTTTGTCTAGAGTAAGTGACTTTAATTTCAGCCTTTTATTTTTGTTGACTTTTATATAGAAATACTCACGATGGGAAGATCCTGTTCTTCTCGTTCAGGACTAATTTTAGCATCCTTTAAATCTGCTCTGAATTTCAAGTGGAAAGTTGTCCTCTTTAGCTACCACGGATTCGTTTCGTTTGTCCTTTCAGGATTCACAACAGGTCTTCCCAATTACTTTGACAACAGCTATAGCGTGTTTCTCGAGCAATATTTCCAGTCATTCTTTATTTCGTTAACTGATTCCTTATCGCACTGCCTCTGGTGCATACTTGTGCTGTTCCAGTCTAGAGTCATGCAGTTAATGTACCCAGATTGTGAATTTTTCGTGTGCAAATTGATACAGCCTTGAATAGGGTAGCTGATGCAGAAACCATTCTCGAACGACCCTTATATGAAGTCCAATGATGCCGTATTCTTGGTCTTTGGCTGTGCGAATTGCTTCTAATAAATCACCTTCCAGATTATAATGTTTGTAGGTATACTCAACATTAGGATGCTCTAGGGTGGCAGTCATTGACTGACCTAGTCATGGTTTCATCTACCTGTTTTGCACCGTGCTAAGTGTTCACCTAAAAAGTGGGCCAAGTTGTCGGTCTGGAAACCGCAGCGTCTAAAATCCAGGACGATCCACCAGACATATGGACCGAAATTTGTGCACCGATGATAAACGTGTCAGGAAATTATTTGCGGATGATGTTCCTGCAAGGTTTAATCGGATATCGGGTCAAATTTCGGATAGATGGACTGAGTGGAAGCTATGTAAGGCAGTCATAGGTGATTCAGCTTCATCTTGTTATCATCTTAAACGTCTTATGGTAAGAAAAGAACTTCTTGAGGACTTTACCGAAGCAAATACGTATTTCGTTTGATTTGCGAGCAGAGTGTCTTCTTCGCGCATTTGGTACACTGAAACTCGCAAATCTGATGCAGAAGCAGTGAGAATTGCAAAGGCGAGGAATCTCTCTGAACTGTTCATCGAAAATCGACCAGTAGAGATTTTCGAGAGGGTATACGATGTGTTCAGATGTCACTTGAGCTGAAAATTTGTAGCTGATGAAAAAGATAGTCCTATATTTCCTGCCAGAAACAGCGGGAATGATTTTAGGACATGATAAATTCTGTCTCTGCAGACCTGACGATAGTCCCAACAAACATGTTCGCACGGGAAATAGCATTACAGTGTCTATCAGATAACT